TGATTAAGACCCATTTTAGACCCATTTCAAATAAAGCCAGCGGTGTGCCATTGGTCCATTCAATCAAGGTCATTCGGTAATGACATGCCACAGTTGCCAAAAACTTTTCATCTGAAATTTGGATCCTCTCAATTTTAATTGTTATCAATTTTTGGCTTTGTTAGACCTAAAAAAAAAAAAAACCTATTAGTAAGGCACATTAAAATTTACAAAAAAATAAATAAATACTTTCCCAAAAAAAATTTATGAAAAATGATTGACGTTGGCTGGAATTTACAAAATTCGAAATCGAGAGAATCCAAATTGGGTATATATTTGATTATAATTAATTATCTAACTGTATCGTCTGATATTGTGACTAGTAAATATGAATAGCCAAATCGGGTATAAATGTGACTAGAAAAGGTCAAAAGATGTTAATATCCAATTGTCTGCGTGCAAAGCACTAAATTCCTAATTGAAATACTCCATCACTCTTTGTGCTGATCTGTTATTACGATTGCCCTTTCAACTAGGGCATTTGGAATTAAGCAACATTTTTGCGTGTATTTTGTTGGCAATCAACTTTTATTTAGGTGTTAGTGAACCGTTCCGAGTGTGTTTTTTTTTGAATTTATGGTTATTATGTTAATTTAAAATGTACATAATTATCCATTAAACCATGCGAATCAAGTCACTCAAGACTTCTCTAACAAGGCTCAAATTAGAAACATCAATATTTTAATCATTGAAGCCCTAATGGGTTACTTAAAAAAAAAAAAAAGATTTTAGTTTTGAGGAAATTATTATTTACAAAGTTAACCCTAACCTCTTTCAGGAGATAATTCTCACTCGGATAATATCACATGCACCGGCTTCTTAACATGCATGACATTCAAAATTTAAGATTTGTGTAATTGGTAAAAAATCGAACCTATACCCAAAATTTGAATACGATTCATCTTCTGGATCGAAAAATTCTGAGGGTTATTAGGCATAGCTATTTATAAATATGAAATTAGCTTTCATCGTCATGTCCCAATTTGACTTAGTGTAGCTGAAATGACAGTTTGGATTGTGATTGTCTGACTGGCAGGATATATCAGCATGCGAAGGCTGTAGACTTCCCAGTTCATTTGGATATATCAGCATCATAGTTGATCAAGTGATTATGACAGAAAGTGTTTAGCTCCGTGAGGCTGCAATGCATAAACCGACGCATAGATATGGATATGTATGCACAAAGATATATAGATAAAGATAATTTAATTCCCGACTTTTTTGTCACTATAAAATTTAGACCGAACGTAGTTTAACTTCTCTACATATAGATCGATGGTATATTGAAATTTAGATTACAATAAAATAATTTTAACGTTACGTACATGTATATAAAACAAAAGCTGGTCAACCAAGAAATTTTAGAAACTTTGGGTGGTGGGGGTGGGGAGACCATTGGCCTTTCTAAAGTAATTCCGCCACTCTACATGAACGGCCGCCCGCCCGCCCGCCCACACACCCACCCACACATATATGCTGCAAGAATCTCTTTTGAAAAGTTAAAATATTCAAAGTAGACATTTTTTATTTTAAATTTACTTTGGGCTAAAATATTCACACCGGACATTTTTATTTAAAATTTTCTTTTAGGTATATTCACGTACTTTCTTTTTGGTCGGTGAAAGTTATCACGCCAAAAAATTTTTTTTACAAGAAAGACAAAAAGCTGAAAGCATGTAATGTAACCCACCTACTTAGAGAACAAATTTTTTTACACTAGACATGCTAAAAAATCAACATAAAAAGTTAAGTTTTGTTGATTTAATAATAATTATAATAATTTAATTGGATCATGTCTCTATCATATTATTGAGTTAATAAAATTAGGCCATTGAAAGACAAAAGGGTGGAAAGGGTCAAAGAAATTGTCTCCATGGGTGGCTGATGTTGGATGCACCAAAATATTGAGTAATCATGGTCAACCTCCCATGTATAAAGTGTAATGGGAGTCGCAAGATTTGAATCACACTTTGTTGAACCCCTTCCCCGGGGCTACCCCCACCCCAACACACACACAACAATCAAACACAAATATATACATATATATGGGAAAATCTACGGTACCAACGTAATCGACTTTGATACCGTACCACTGCTTACTATTTTTTTGATAAAGTTACAATTTATAAGAGAGAAATTACAACTCATAAGAGATAATTTACAATTGCTTAAAGAAGACCGTGATTGATCATAAACTTCTTCTAAGCAGTTGTTACTTCTCTCTTATAAGTTGTAACTTGACCTTTAAAAGTTGTAATTCGGTATCAATCACAATCTATCATGATCACCCTTAAATGTTATAACTTACGCCTCAAAAAAATTGTAACTTAACCTTAAATGGTTGTAACTGATAGTATGGTACCTCCTTCGGTACCATAGAATTCTCTTATCTATATAATAAAGTAATTTACAATTCAAATTTTAAAAGATAAATAAAATGACTTTTGTTATTCGCGGTTGAGATTGTTTTAAATTATATTTTAAAGTTAATCTAACGGCTAACATTAAAACCCTAAATTTAAAAAGAAAAATAGGCCCCTAAGGGTGTGTTTGGAGTGACTTTTTAAAAGTACTTTTAAAAGTTATTTTTCATAAATAATTTTAAAAAAAATTGTGTTTGAAACCGCCCCACCACTACCACTCGCACTACCACCACTGTTACCACAACCACCGCCGCAACCACCCCCATCGCCCCCACCCCCATCACCCCCACCACCGTCCCCGTCGTCATCACCACTTTTACTGCAAACCTCCACCCCCACCACCGCTGTTGTCATCACCACAACCGTTATCGTCACAACTTACACCACCATCGCTGTCGTTGTTGTCGCCACTACCACCACTTCTCACCTCCACTACAAATCGATGCTTAAATTCTTTTATCTCTTCTTTATGTTTGTGATTTAATTTTGGATATGAATACAAATATATTTATTATTTAATATTTTTTATTATTCTGTACCTTTAGACACATGCAATAACTAATATATATGTGTCTAATAACCAACTATTGAACTTCAAAAGAACCAACCCCCTTGCCAAAAGAGAAGAAAAAGAGAAAAAGAACGAGAAATATTACCAAATAAATGTATATTTAGAAGTATCGTAATACATACTAAACAATTATGGAGTAATATTAAGCCAACTCTTGGATTCAGATATACTCAATTTCAGTTAATTTCAATAATCGGCGAGATCCACAAAATTATTATTGGAATTTAAATAACTTAACATTAAACCATTGAACTTAACTAAAAATAACTATAATTAATAATAGAGAGATCCCTAAATAGTAATCAATAATATCATTTGAAATTAATTTAGTGACCTAGTTCATCACGTCTATTAGATTGACAATCCAAATCAATTAAATTTTATAAATTTATAAATAAATTGAACAGTAATTGAGCAGAGGACAAAGTATTATTATTATTAAATAAAAGGAAATTAGAAAAATGGAGATGAGAAAGCGCAAGGGATAAAACAAAGTGGCATTGAGTGGGTAATTCAATATCCTGTAAGGCAACTAACTCCCAGGGGCAGGGGCAGGGGCGGGGCCAGTCTCCGGACACCAACAACCCATCGCTGACAAAATCGGAAGACACCGTCAGAGCCACGTCGTTTTGTCCATGTGGACCATCTCACAATTTCCTCGTGCTCTCGTTCCAAAGTTCCCCGCTGTTTACTCACCTAAAACGTTAGTATTTCAATTTCTTCCCACTCCCACAACTCTGCCTCACCGCCCATTCCCCTTACCAGTAACAGCTAATTTTATGAGTAAAGCTATTCTGCATAAATTATTATCCAAATTTTATATTTTAAATTAATACAAGTATTTGAATTAATGGGGTTCACTAACTCTAATAAATATTTAATGTATGATATTTTAACACATCACTTAGAGATATAAAATTTGTACCCTCACTCTAAGACTCCAATTTGAGACCTTGTATATTTCTTATTGTCATAATTATAAATAATTAAAATTTATTTTTTATTTTTTTGCTATAAATGTTTTTTTTTTGTAACGGAAAAATTTCACGGCCTGTTTTCAGTAAATAGAGACATACTTATATCGTTCAAGCTCATAACTTTGAGTAAAACCAAAGGTAAAATAAATTTTTTAGAATTAATTCAATTTTTTCATATATAATTATTACAAATTTTATATACAAGTAATTAAAGTCATTTTAGGTATCAATCAATTTTGTTGATTGAATTTCTCAACTATTTCACCAAAGACTTTAGATTAAACCTATCCTTTATTTATATTACAAGGTTTGCGGATTGAAAAATGGACATTTTTCAATTGTAATGCAATAATTAATTTTTTTTAACAAAATTGCTAATATACTTGTATAGATATGTAAATGTCTAATCCTCTGTATATAACTAAGTCTAGAAGAATAAAGTAAGTTCGAATAAGAAAAAAAAAATTAAAAAATACACATACAAAAACAACCGCTTCTTAAAAAAATTTTAAAAAAGAACTACCAACATACATAAAATTCACCTTTGAATTTTCTATTTTACTTTCTCCTTGTGAATTTTTTTTATCTCGTGTTTTGACAAAAAATATTCATTACAATGGTGATATCACATGATATTGTGATCACTAATTAATAATATTAAAATAAATAAATAAATAGATCCCATGCAAGTTTAAGTGGAGTTTATCTTATTCACTTAAAATTTTATTATAATATCACCACTCCATTCAATATTTACTTGTGTTTTGGTTTAGACAGAAAATAAGAGAAAGAATTGAAAAACAAAATAAAAAAAGAAAGAATTGAAAAACTAAATTTTCTCTCTCTCTAACCGGTTGATGCCGGTGAAGTTTCTTACACTTGGATGTTAGATAGGGTCCGGTCCGTTTCAACTCTCTCATCTGTCCTCTAGGCTCTTTCTAAAACTCTCTCCCCTTCTCTCTCTCTCTCTCTCTCTCTCTCTCTCTCTCTATAAATACCAGCTTTCGCAGCCATGCCCTTTTTTTCTCCTCTCCTTCTATTTCTCTCTCCTCCCTCTCTCTTTCTCTCCGATCACTCTCCGCCAGTTTCGCCGTCCTCTTCACCGTCATTCCCGACTGAACATCCATCTACCCCATTTCAGCTTCACAAGGTCTGTTTTTTTAAACCCTCTCTCAGTCTGATTTTCTTGCAAAGAAACTTTAGATCTGGTTCTCTAAGACATATTGGTCAACTCGCTTTCCTTCTTCCACAAAGCTCTCAAATTTTAGTTTTTTCTTCAACATTTCATGGGTATTATTGTTCATTATGTTTGTATATTTATGCTACCTATCTCGGTATATTTTCAAGTCCTCTTTACATGGATTTTGAATTTCTGTTCATTTTTTTTGAATGGATTTAGTAATGTAGTTTATTCTGTGAAACATATAAGCATAAAAAGATTTGACCTTCTTTTTTTTTTTGTTTAAAATCAATTATTTTTGTTCTCGTTTTGATAATGCTGAATATGGTAATCGTTTGGATCTTTGTAATGTCTATCGTGGTTTTGAAAATAATCATATCTATGTATGACCATTATACTTGTGGATAAGAATGTTTCGGTTTTGTTGATAAACTAATAGACACTGTTTATCTTGGTAATAATATACTGTCACTGTTTGTGTTTTTTTCCCTTTTGCTTGAATATGTGAAGTTTGTTTCATGGATAAGATTTATTTTAGCTTTTTTAGTGAAATTGGTTTTTTCTTTGCTATAATTATTTTTCTGTCTCATTCCCAACTGTTAATTTTGTTGGTAGATAAGATCATTTTGAACTTTGGTAATTCATATGTTTTAGAATGCTGTTTGTGTTCCAAATTTGTTTTATTTCTGTCTTTGCGTTTACTTTTGTATGATTTGTTACAATGATTGACTTTTTTAAGTACTTGCATATATTTATCATTTTTCCTCTAAAGATTATATCTTTCTTTGTTATACAGAGTGCGTGTGAGTTGAAGAGTTAAGAGTATTATGGATGGTATTAAAGAGTTTGGACTTACAAAAGTGAGTTCCCATTGCTCGATGGCAGAAATGGATGATTTATATCTCTCAAAGCTCCTCGACAAGCCGAGGTTAAACATTGAGAGAAAGAGATCGTTTGATGAGAGGTCAATGAGTGAGTTGTCTGTTGCTTTAAGGGGTCTAGAGAACTATGAGAACACTTACACGCCTGGTGGACGGTCAGGATTGGATACCCCGGCTTCATCGACTCGTAACTCCTTTGAGCCCCACCCGATGGTTTCTGATGCTTGGGAAGCTCTCCGCCGATCCATGGTGTTTTTTCGGCGTCAACCAGTTGGCACGATTGCGGCATTAGACCATGCTTCAGAGGAAGTGTTGAACTATGATCAGGTGAAAGTTTGTAACCAAACATTTTGACTTAATAACCTTTGGCATATGTGAAATATGACTTTGCATAGGGTTTTTTTTTTTTTTTTTCGCAAAAAACTTAATTTGATTTTGTGAAATTTCAGTCACAGTACTGATAAGCTATGCAAGCTTGGACGAATTAGCCGAAGGTTTAAAAGTTTGATTTGATTTTTGTTTAATTTGTAGGTTTTTGTACGAGATTTTGTACCTAGTGCTTTGGCTTTTCTAATGAATGGTGAGCCAGATATAGTTAAGAATTTCCTATTGAAGACACTTCAGCTTCAAGGATGGGAAAAGAGAATAGACAGATTCAAGCTTGGGGAAGGTGCAATGCCCGCTAGTTTCAAAGTTCTTCATGATCCAGATCGTAAAACAGATACAATAGTAGCAGATTTTGGTGAGAGTGCGATTGGAAGAGTTGCTCCAGTTGACTCTGGATTCTGGTGGATAATTTTGCTCCGTGCATATACAAAATCTACTGGGGATTTAACTCTGGCTGAAACACCAGAGTGCCAGAAGGGAATGAGGCTTATACTGACCCTGTGTTTGTCTGAGGGATTTGATACGTTTCCCACTCTGCTGTGTGCTGATGGATGCTCGATGATAGATCGAAGAATGGTAAGATACCTTATGTCTGTATGTTAACAATATTGTCAAAAGTCTTATGATGTGCTTATAATGCTTAGCTCTTCCAAATATAATCTTAGGCCTGCCTACTAATGAGTATTGCTAAGATCTTGTTACAGTGAATCCTATGAAATAGTTGAAAGAACACTAACATCATTATGCCTTTCCTTGTGGGTCTGCATCATATGTTTTGCGAGTGGAATTCAATGATGATGTTGATAATTATTGGAACATTCATATGGGATCGGGACTAACATGTAAGATCAACAAACAAACGAACACACAAACATGCATATTGAGAAATTTAAATGGGTAACTGTGTTGGGCATTGATCAGCCAATGCTAGTTTTGATACCATGTTGGAGACATCTAACTCAATCAATTGACAATGAGTGGATAGATGTGGGATACAAGATATTTTTACACTAATATGTGGTGCTAAACACAGTGAATGTCTATGAATCACTTTTAAGATCTTGAGTAGGACTGAAGGACTGGCCAGTGGCCATGATGCAAAACTTTTATCTGCTTAGCTTTATGGTTGATACATAATTAGCTGAAAGAGTCCAAGGTTATGACAATTGGAGGTATGTTCACTTGACTACTTGAGGGTAATTCTCTATTTCCATTCGGTCTTTCTTTAATCTATTCTTATCTTGATCTGAAGTAACAAGAAGGTTCTTATGAACTAACATGTCATGTTACTTTGGTGAATAGGAAAACCTAATCTTATCAACGTTACCTAATTCTTGCTTTAGGAACAAAACTATTGTTAGTTTTATGGCAATAGACCAGGACAAGTCGGTTCCTCATTTTGAATGGCAATTGGCTGAATGAAATCTTATATTGTGTCTTGTGTACTGGCTGAATGTATTATTCATCTAGTTTTTTTTAATGTTTTGGGTTGGTGGTTGTTACTGTTTTCCTCTGTTTGCTTTTGCTGCTTCTTTTTTTTTTTTTTGTTGTTGGAGCTTTGTACTAGTTTATATGGTAATGTTTTAACTAATTCATTATTAATCCCCAACCTGATTTTAATGAGGACTCTGTCTTACTTATCTCAAAGTTAACATTCCAAATTTTTTTCCTGGCTATCTTCTTTTCTACATGAAACCCTTCTGTGTGCAAAAAGCTCAAGTTTGGATATCGTGTCTCTTCTGCGACACTGCTTTTCATAAGTGTATTGCATTTCTCGTCTCTCTTCTTTCTTTTTGTACTTTTTTTTGCTTATTATTGGTCCACCATGTTAAATATGGTAGAATTTCTATGGTTGTATTTGGTTAGAAAATCATATCTATCTTCTTTATAGAAAGAAGATGGGTGGAATAAGTCATGAGTTTCAGGTGAAGAAAAGACCCAACAATAAAGAATACACTGTATTGTAGCATAATTCATTTATTGTTCAAAGTGGATGATGTAGATTTATTGTATCTTTTCTTGCCATTGATTCTAAGGTGTTTTTAATGCTTAGTACTAGAGATAACCTATTCCTTTTTGGTTGATCTGCTATCTAAATTGAGCGACTACGGCTTGGAGCCATGGAGGAAATAAAATCATGCCGTAATGATGGGACACCACAAATTGATAGCAAATTTTTGGTGAAGCATTGGCTTGTGAAAGCATTTAAATAACTCTTGGCACATGAGGCAAAAATCACAATGGTACAGGTTATTTGTGATGTGCTACGTTCTAAACTCCATAATCGCTTCAATGGGATTTCATGCAGGAATTAAGTTCCATGAACAGTTGGAATGAGCTCTTAATTTTTAAAAAGAATGCACCAGTGAGGAAGATTGATATGATATGTACTAATGGTAATGCAGCAGTAGAGTTTGAATGAAATTAATTTTGATTGAGATTATTAAAAAAAGGATATAATAGCTTATATTGGAAGGCACACTGGATAGAGCACAATAGTGCAACAAGATTCACGTAGCCAACCCCTAATAGATGGGAGAAAGAATGCTTCTTGTTCACACATCCATATTTTATGGAAAATGTTGTCTGTGTATCATAGATTTTGTTTGAGCACGTAATAATTTCCCAGTACAAACCAGAATTGATGAATGCGTTTCCTGGCTAGTAGCCTGACACATTAGTTAATTATACTGATGTAAAATCCTTACAAGAAAGTTTTTTCATTTAGATAATTGAAATTTATTACGGAGTGCATCGAATACATATCACATTGATTTGTACACTGGTTTTTCAGAAGTAAGGCATAACCATTATGAGAGCATGCCAACATATTTGTGTCCTCTCACGTGCATATTGAACATGCACATATTGAAAACTAGGCATCGCATGTTTGTGCGCTGGGGTTGGTATGCATGAGACTCCCATAGATAGAAGTCCTCTATTCTTTATCTTTACATGATGGTTGGTTTAAACATTTAGCCTAAAAAGGGTGATCTAATGCATGAGAATCTCACCATTGTGGGGTTTGGGTAGGTTAGGTGTATGTAACCTTATTCCACATGTGGAGAGACCTATTCTGCGACTCAAATCTTTGATGCCCAGGTCACAATGGAGTAACATTACCACTGTAAGAAAGTTGTATAGACATTTAACCTATTAACTGTTACTTGTGCCTCGACACATTATACTTCCTAGAAGAGTTATAGGCATGTACAAGGTGTAGTCAAAATGGGGCTAAAGCATATTCGAGAAAAATAAATGTTCGGCACATGGCCAACACGGACACCTCTTTTCTAGAAGTGTTCACAATGCTTTGGTGAAAATGTGTCATGTTGATTAGTTGTTCAAGTTTCTATTAATTTTTGACATTGTTTATCAAATTGCTTTGTGGCTTTTGTATTGCTTTATATATTATTTTGGTTATGCAATCTATGTTGTTGATGGGCAGAAATTATCTATATAGGTGTCATGCAAATGAAACTGAATATCAAATTTCTTATGAAGGGTATTACTAAACTGACAAAAAAATGGGACCAAATAACGTGGCGCTAATATGGTGAGTAATATTTGAATTTTACATAACCGAAAGAGGAGGCATATGTATCACCATGTCAGTGCCACATCCTTTGGTCTCATGTTTTAGTCTGTCCAACTTGGGAGCATGCAACCTACCATTGGAGTTCAGAAAATAAATCTAGAGTGAATGCAATGGAGCAACAGCATAATAAACTGTCTAATTATTGTGCTTTGGTGTAATGAGAAAAGCAAATATTTGGTTGCATGAAACTGAAAATACGTAATGGTATATTGGATTGAAGCTGAAAATATGTAGTAGTATATTGAATGGTTCTTGCATCCCTCTGCATTGTTAACATCTTCGGTCTGATTTAAGCAGGGCTGACCGACTCAAGCTTTAGGCGACTTGGGCTGTCGCCCAGGGCCTCACATTGGAAAAGGCCTATCTTTTCCTTTATTGCTATTGGATCCTTAATGATCCAAATACGAATAAGATCAGAAAGGCCATCATGTTGGCGAAACAACGCAATTGCTTTGGTTGGTCTGGACCATCCAAAAGAAAGTTTTTTCCCAAAGTGGTATTCCAACATGCAAGTGTTTGGGAATCAAGAAGAATGATTTTGGAAAATGACTTGCAAAATCAATTTAATCGCCCCACCTTGAAAAAAGGTTCAAAAGATATAGCATCAAAGCTTTAAAAGGACATTGACGTATAACTTGTGTCCCACTAGTTTTTCTTGTTAGGTGAATTTTAGATAACATTGGGAACATAAAAATGACTATTCTCTTCACTATGTTAAAAACTAGATTGAATTTAAGCAAACTCCTCATTACATCTCTCCTCACACTATTTCGCAGTCTTGCAAGCTTCCTCGCACACAATATTACCAATACTTAGAGTTTAAAAAATGCCTCAGACGTGTTGCCTTAGAACTCAAATTGCACTGAGCCGGCCCTGGATGCAAGTATGACAATTATGAGACTAACTAGATTAGCTAGCTTTTTCTGTGGTGTCTAATAGAACATCTCATTTTTACTTTGTCCTTATGGTGCATATTCACATTTGGGTGGATGACGTTGAAAGTAGTTGCATTATGAGTAGATGTTTCAGTCTGATGCAAGCATGACTTTTTTGGGACTTTATCATAGGTTATGTTGTAAGTGAGCAATTTAGTGTATGCTGATTTTTTCATTATAGTGGATAACATGTTCCTTTTTGCGTTACTGCTCATTGTGAACTTCTGGTTTTCAGTTCTAATGGTATTTGTTTATTTTTCAGGGAATTTATGGTTATCCTATTGAAATCCAAGCACTTTTCTTTATGGCATTGAGATGTGCTTTGGCAATGCTGAAGCATGATGCAGAGGGGAAAGATTGTATAGAGAGAATAGTAAAACGCTTGCATGCCTTGAGTTATCACATGAGAAGTTATTTCTGGCTTGACTTCCAACAACTAAACGACATATACAGATATAAAACAGAAGAATATTCTCACACGGCAGTAAATAAGTTTAATGTTATTCCTGATTCAATCCCAGATTGGGTATTTGAGTTTATGCCCACGCGTGGTGGCTACTTTATTGGCAATGTCAGTCCTGCAAGGATGGATTTTCGATGGTTTGCTTTAGGTAATTGTGTTGCTATCTTAGCTTCTCTTGCCACCCCAGAGCAGTCTGCTGCTATTATGGATCTTATTGAAGCACGCTGGGAGGAGTTAGTTGGAGAAATGCCTGTGAAAATATGTTATCCTGCAATAGAAAGTCATGACTGGCGAATTGTAACAGGTTGCGATCCAAAGAATACCAGATGGAGTTACCATAATGGGGGGTCTTGGCCAGGTTCTACCCTCATCCTGCCATCTTGCATGCTTATTTAAAGATTGTTTTCCTGCCTTTTGGTTACTATAGGAGAACAATCATTGCTGCTATTGCTTATTGGTAGGCACTGGTATTATCCTGTTAGAAATGAACAGTGAAACATAGGTGGAATAGATATTCTCTTTGTGATGTCTCTTTGCCCAAAAATGCATATCTTACTTGGATCTTAACCATCTGATTTACTTAACCGTAATTAGTTATCCTTCCTCAATAACCAATTGACTATTTATTAATTTCCCTGATACTGGGTGATCTATTAATTTTGTAATGTTGTACATCAGGAAGTTTATTTGTGAACCAGTTTTCCTATATTTCTCCTTCTGCTCTTTACCTTGTGGATGTCACTAATGGTGCTGGTTAACTATTTCCTTTTTCTTAATTGATCAATGGTTATGGTTAACTGTAACCTGTATTTTTTATTACAGCTGTGGATGATAAAAGATAACACATGATTGCATAGCCCCAATCATATTTATGAGTACATCTGCAAGGTTATAGAAAAATTATAACTTTGCTTGTTGGCTTTGTTAAAATTTTCTGGTTTTATTTTGTTCGATTCAAGTGTAATAGAGTGCAGTTGTGTATCATGACTTTTTTGATGGAAGGACAAAAGAGTGGTAGCTGGTTGGGGTTTTTTCTTTTTTCCCTTTTCTTGATATGTGTTGTGGGGGGTTCTTATAGGCAAGAACCTGCTGAATCCCAATTTTCCTTATCAAAGAGCTGGAAGTCCTTGGCAGGGGACAAGGGTATTGGTTCATGTTTTGTTTCATTCTGCAATTATGTAAACAATGCATCCAAATAGATTCAAGTTATTGTGACCTGTAAGTAAATGCTTTATGAATGGAATAGGTTGGCTACAATGTGTACAACTATTGGAAATTTGAACCCAGAAGATGAAAAAATTCACCGTCCACTGAGGACTATATGTAATATTTCTTAAGGGCCTTACTTCATGTTTGTTCATCAAAGGCAGCGCATGTTGGCCTTGTTCCCTCTTATTTTCTTTCTCCAATTTAATTTGAGACTGTAGAAATGGAAGTTGCTGAATGCTTTTTAAGAAACATCGGTGAAGTTCATTTTAACGATTGCTAGTCATCTGTCTTCTCTATTGCAACTTTTTGCTTCTGCTGTCCTGATTGCAGTGCTTCTATGGTTGCTGACGGCTGCCTGCATCAAAACTGGACGACCACAAATAGCAAGACGAGCAATTGATCTTGCCGAGAGCCGTCTGCTCAAAGACAGCTGGCCAGAATACTATGACGGGAAGTTTGGAAGATATATCGGTAAACAAGCGAGGAAATACCAGACATGGTCAATTGCAGGATATTTGGTAGCAAAGATGTTGTTGGAGGATCCCTCACATTTAGGGATGATCTCTCTGGAAGAGGACAAACAAATGAAGCCAGTTATTAAGAGATCCTCCTCTTGGACTTGCTGACGAGCTAAAATGAAACCAGAAAATAGCAGAAAAAAAAAGAGATCAACTGAAGGAGAGATATCTTTTGATTTCATTGCAAAAACAATATTCTTTTGCACTTTCTGTCCTTATAGGCTTGATTGAAAGTTTGGTTTTGTGTACATTAGCTTCCGCCAAGACTAGCATCTTACTTTTCAATAAAAGAAACCTTTTAATATTTGTGTTTCTAACTTTGAAAGGCATTTGAAGAATGCCAAAAACATTGTTGATGATGTTTATAACTTGAATGACTTTTGTAGCTCGAAGTTAAACACTTGCATGATTCTCTTAAATTAAGCAGAACATTCTCCTGTCCCCAAAAAATTTAAGAAAACAGGAACTCCCTTCAAGGATTTTCTGGAAGTCATACCGAAAAATAGTTTTGCCCCACCTTTTGGTTGAAAATGGATTGAGAAACTGAAGTTTCAATGGAAGTTTCTGAGTCAAATTTTCTATGAAAGGAATTTCTTAGGGTGAAGAGCTGAAGAAGCAGCCTTGGTTTTGTCAGACCTCTACATATTGCTGATCTTCTTTATTTCATTTTGAACAAGATTAGGGAAGTTGTGCTAGGGTATTTCACCTGGTTGGTGATATTATGCTTTCATGCTTGGCTACAATTAATGTTATATAAGGCGTAAAACGAGCTAATAACGATTGCAAATAACGATTTTGAAAGAAGTTGTATATAGTGCATAGAAACCGGCGTATAAATCATTGCTTATAATAAAAGATAAATAGAAAGCAAAACGGCTTTGGGAAAAGTAATAGAAAGTAGAAAATCTCTCGCTTCAAAAGCAAAAACAAAAGTTGGGAAAAAAAGGACAAAAAGGTTTATAATTACAAAAAAATTGTAGTAAGTGTTAATGCTAATAATGAAATATCTGAATAAAAAGCATAAAGAAATGTAAAGTGGGGGTGAGGGACTGGGTGGTATGTAAATCAACAAGTTTTCTTTGAAAGTTTTGGTTTGAAAAACATGTAATAAAACAAGTGGAAAAGAGTGATAAAGAAATTGTATGTGTAAATGTAATGTTGGGGGGAGTGGGGTTGTGTTGGGATGAGCTGTTTCCTTGGTGTGTATTATTAGATGCTCCTCCTTCTTGGCTCTTCTGCCTTCTGCTCTGTCATGCACTCCTTATTTACCAATATTGCTTGTCCTCTCCACCTCCACTCTTTCTACTTACCCATCTCTCTCTCTCTCTCTCTCTCTCCGAGTTTGAATTTTTTTTCACCGGTCTAGTGTGTTCTTATAATTTTCTATGAAAACTTATTTTAGAAAACTAGTTTTTGAAATACGTATTTATAAAAATAACAATAATTTTTAATAAATAAATTCTAAACTATGATATTTTAATAAAACCCACCACTTTACTTCTTGGGATTACTTTGCCATTTGGTCCCTCTCTGAATTGTACAGCCCACTGGTTTAATGTGTGGGTGTTTGTGACAGAGAGAGATAGATAGATAGATGGATAGAATTGATAAGCGTCATCATAATCGTCATTATCAACAAAACATAACTCAATCATGGAGCAGTGAGAGAAAAGCAACAACAAAAAAAAAAGGTGGGGGGGGGGGGGGGGGATAGTTGAAATCCAAAAGACTAGAAAAAGACTTCAGCCAAAGCTTTTCTTGAGAATGTCCCTTTATCTTCAAGTTTTCAACCTTTCACACCCCAAAAAAAATCAAGCTACGAAGAACTTTATATCCCACCCAGTTTTATCAAAGCTGTCTCGGAATATATACACACATACACATACCCCCCCCCCCCCCCCACCCCCCACTCTAGATATATTTATATACATGTATAAATATATAGCAATGGGACAATAATATTGAATAAGATACAAAAAATATAACTTTTGAGTGTCAAATTACAATTGAAGAAATTATAACCAATCACAAAATATTATGGTCGATTATACAAAAAATACTTTTTAAAGATCATATTACATTTTTTGAAAGATAAATTACACCTTTCAAAAGTTATTCGCCATCAAACATAACATTCTACAATTGACCAAGACATTTGTAATTAATCACATGTAACCTCGATTAATTATAACTTTGAGTCTTGAGAATTATATCTTTATCTTTTCCATGTTTTCAACAACAATTTCCCATACCATAGACTTATATATAGTACATTGTGTATATATATCTATAATATAAAATAAGATAAATTTAATAAATTCATCCCCACAATCTCAAATAAACTTATCTAATAACTATTAATATTCTTTTTAAAAATCATACTCATGTACCATACATTGAGACAGGTATATAATAGAGAAGGTACAGCAGCAGCAAGCAACAGTGTGTGGCTAAGAAAATAGCTGATCCTGAAGCCAACTCAACTCAATATAAGATACTGAAAAAGAGACCCCACGAGTGGGCTTCCTTCATTTACTGATTTACAGGTCCCCACCTGCCACCACCACTTGGACCCCAACCCCTACCCAGCTGTACACACTGAATCAATTCTTTTTGGTTTAGCTTTGTAGGCACCCACACCTACTCTGTGTGTGAAAGACAGCAGTCAACCACAAAGGATGAGAGCAAGAAGAAACCCCACCCCCTTCCACTTGTTCAGAGTCCTCCCAACAAGACTTTCGCCACAACCTTGATCTCCAAGTCTCTCTCTCCTTCACTCTCCCTCTCATCAATTGGGCCATGTTTGAAGCTCCAAGAGAACTCTATTGACACACCCAGATGATGAAATTCATGGATTCACAAAGCAAAAACCAAGGTAGTAGTGGAAATTCAAGCCACCATGCACAAAACCAAGAGCCTTCTTCCCTCCAACTGGTTCCACCCCAAAGTCAACCTGAACCTGGACCTGGGTCCGGTCAGGCCCCAGGCCATGGTCCATTCCTGGGCTCCATCTCCATGGAATCAAGAACTCTCTTTTCCTCATCTTCCACCACCACCACCACCAACTCTATTTCCCCCAAAGCCGCCACCAAGAAACCATCCAAAGACCGCCATACCAAGGTCGACGGCCGCGGCCGGCGCATTCGCATGCCGGCCTTATGCGCCGCCAGGGTCTTCCAGTTGACTAGAGAATTGGGTCACAAGTCTGATGGTGAGACAATTGAATGGCTTTTACACCAAGCTGAACCGGCAATTATCACCGCCACGGGAACCGGTACAATTCCGGCCAATTTTTCAAGTCTTAACGTGCCTCTACGTAGTGGTGGCACCACTATCTCAGCTCCGCCGTCCAAGTCTGCTCCACTGTTTATCCACGGCGGTGGTGCCGCCATGCTGGGCTTTCATCCTCAGCTTCAAAGCAGTGGTTTTGGGCAAGACCCAGATGAGCATTACATGAAAAAGAGGTTCAGAGAAGATACAAGTGGTGCAACCTCACCTTCGGCTGCTAAACCTGAACGAACCGGAGCTCAAGATCACGAACCTAGCTCAGACCCAAGAGCCGGTTCAGCTCAATTGTCCAGCTTCATCCCGGCTCCAGCCATGTGGGCTGTTGCACCAGCCGCCACGAACGGCGGAAACACCTTCTGGATGCTCCCCGTGAGTGGCGGTGCTGCCACAGCCTCAGTTGGAGCTGCTCAACCGGACCACCATTTGTGGCAGTACAAGGCACCAACCATGCAGAGAATGGGAAATTTTGAGTTCCCGGGTGGGGGAAGGTTCAGTCCGGTTCAACTCGGGTCAATGGTATTGCAACAGCCACAGGCGGTTCAGCAACTGGGTCTAGGTGTCTCAGAGACCAACATGGGAATGTTGGCCTCTATAAATGCATACAACAATAGTGGAACTGGAAGTAGGGTTGATTTGGGTATGAATTTGGAGCAACATCACCATCAAAACCAGCCTCAAGGTAGTGAAAGTGGTGATGAAAACCCTAAAGATTCTAGATAATTTCATGATAATGCCCTCTGAATTCATAAACCCTTCTCTTTCTCTCCTCCCCCCCATTAGTTTGTTAAATAATGCCACAAATCCTGTTTTTAGGTGAAGAAGTTATTCATCAAGATCTCTTGTTTTTTTAGCTGTTTTTGCCCGGTCTGGGTTTTCAGTTAATTGCTTTTGCGTTTTGACTATGGTTGATGTTTTTGTTGTTGTTATTGGCTTCTTGGGAGTAACCCTTGGAGAAGCTGGCTTTGATGATGGAAATAGAAGAGTTGAATTGGTATGTGTTTGGATATTTGGAGTGACATAAGCCTAGAATTCCCTTTTCTAACTCAAGTCTTTCTGATCTTATTTTTTTTTTGAAGTCTTTCTGATCTCATTTTGTTTGTAATGAAGAATTGATTGTTTAGAATTATTTTTGCCTTTGTTCTGGGAAAAGATTGAATTTATGTTGCATAAAGTTGTTTCCTTGCTAGTTCATACAAAGTTGGGTATGAGAACTCTGTTTTTGTTTTGGTGGAGAGAGAGAGAGTCCGCACCAGAAGAAAATAAAGTTTGGAGGAAAAAAATAAAATCTCTCTCTCTCTCAGACACATTGATTGGTTTGCCTCATTGCCTGTGTTCCTGAATTGTCATTTTCCCTTTATTATGGAGTGCAAAGAGAATCATTCCAGCATAAACAAATTGTTCCGGAAAGTAGCATAAACAAATTGTTATTCTTGCCCTGCTGTACATGGATTTATTGTTTTTTCAAGCCCAAATATTCATCTAAATCATATTTGTGAGGAACATTTGTGACATCACTAATAAACTATGGTCACATACTCACAGAGAGAGAGAGAGAGAGAGAGAGAGAGGCAGGCTTTGCTGAAATTGAGACAATTATTAGTTGCAACCCTTTAGGTGGGGTTTGAGCAGTTTTTGGAGCCTGATTGACTGTTCCACTTGCATAATTGTTACACCTATACACACATACACACACGCAGCAGAGCATAGAGAGTAGGGTATTAAAAAGGAATCTAAGGACCTAGTGTTCTCTGTCTTTCTCATTTCCAAATTTAGTAAAGTATGTTTGTGCTTTTTCGTCCTCTTCATTTTTCCCAGCGAAGATGCTAATCCTTTAACAGGCATGGTATTAAACTGCTGTATCTCACCGATCAGCATCAGTATCATTATGATTAGAAAAAATTTATAAACTTAAGCAACTTGGGCATCAGCGAAAACAACATCTGTAGCATGTTGTACACGAGGGTTATTTGGATTGTGTCCCTTACACCATGGACAATCATCTTAGTGACGAAGTAATCTACTGTACTGAAGTCGCATCAAGACCCACATCAAAAGCTTGAGAGATGTATTTTGACAGCACCGATTATATCTAATCTATTAAATCATATCCCACATTCAAGTTAAATCTCTAAACTCTCAATTAAGTGAACTTAACTAATATTAAGCTCTTCCATAGACTAAGAAGTTCCACTCTTAAAGCACAAGTTTAGATTAATTGTAAGGGGTGGAGAAGAGGGAAAGTTGTTGTTTTTGCTAGTCTACTCTCAGCTAAATTTTTATGTCCCCACAAGATCATGGTGACATAAGGGTTTAGTTGGGTAATAATATAACCCTAATGCAAATGATTTAAAGATAGAAAAACATCCAAGAAATGGCTTGGACATGATGAGCTATGAATGAAAATGAAACTTTGGAAGATACCTCTTGTTTTCACCCACCAAGTGGGCCATGAGTGGGCCTAATAATTTAACTTTGAGCAATTCAAATTGGAAGAAATGGATAATATTCGAATCAAGATGAACCAATTTTTTTTCCCACTAATCTCACGACTTTAAAAATATTATTTCTCAAATAAATACAATATCAATTTTATCGCGCAAACTCTGTTACTTTTCAAAAAAATTTAATTTCAAATAGCGTCTACTAATATAAAAATGTCATTTCAAACTACATTTGCGCACTATTTGTAAACAATTGGAAACATTATTTGAATTGATATTTTCAATGTGAACACTTCAATCGCAACGACTTCTTTCAAAAATTGCATGAGTTTGAGAAATATAGTACTCAAGAAATTCAGGAGACATACCCACACTATAGAAAGATAAGTAATAAGAATTTTCAGTTGACATGACAGTGGAGCCAAACAAAGTCCAACAAGATTGGTACGGACAACAAGGCCACAACAACATTCCAGTGTTGCAATGGCATGATCACTGTGACAACACCACAATGCCATGATAGGCGCCTAGTGTCGTAGTAGGTACGACCGCCACAAAGGGCGGACCATATCCTTATCGCATTAGAAGTGGCAAAATGCCACCACAAGAGTCACTATCCATTGAGGCATGCTTGACTGGGATCCGGAGGGATTTATAAGGTAACTGAGGTCATTGCTCTGGATCAATATATGGGATAATGCGACATGTGGATTAGTGGCTAAATGATTGAAACTATGTAGGTTTTTCTATCGGGTATCTTGACAAAGGTTTCGAGGAAGGGTTCGGAGAAGGAAGGAAGGGCCCCAGGTGGGAGCGCGATGGGGGCATCGCGTATATGGCCCTCTCGAGGTCTTGGTCCCCCAGTGACCAATTGCGATCATTAACCTTGGAAGTCATCTTTTGCCTGAGTTTAGGCTGCGTGTGGGAAAACATCACATTCACTTAATTAATATTGGAACATGCGAATCACAGTTAGCGGCCATTGGTATTACCGCGATCGAGACAGTTGTAAGTTGGCATGATTGTCAGAGGGTTGTGACGGGCAGCCCTTGGGTCTAAGCACTATGCTATAAATGTTCGCATTACTTGCCCACTAGAAAGGAGAAATTACTATTTACTATCCAGTTGGTGAGAAAATGTACTTCATTTACTCTCTGTCTAATTGGTCGGTCCTTTCGTTAATAGGTTGCTCGAGTTCCTTCTATCCCATCTACTTATCCTACTCATCCCTTTCGGTTGCCCTTTGTATATACACAAGAGTCAACCTCTTTTAACTCTCCACTTATAAGAAATAAGTTTGAAATTGTCCTAATTTGATAAGAATTTTAACGCCACAAGGATTAGTGAAAAACTAAGTATCCAAATATGTCCACTTGATGGGAACGTGCTCCAAGGAGTTGACACATCTTGTTGCCGTGACGGATTTAGGGTGGGGGCCGTATCCAAATATGTCCTTTCATCACTTGTATCTATAGAAATTGTACTTAGTTAACAAGATTATCGTGTTTTGTAGTTGAAGTTTCGGAGCAGAAATTGAATGGCTATTAGCGAGTAATAATCATTCCAACATTTGGTATGTAAGAATGAAAATTCATTCTCATTATTTAATAATATTTAATTTATCGGTCTAGAATTGGTCATTCTTAATATGACGTGATATTTCTCAATACCAAATCCTTCCTCGCCGCCACCATCACCACCACCCAACTCCACCTCCTCCTAGGATTGTCTGTTGGTCCGTACCCGGGTCAGGTTGGGACCAGAATTTGAGGTCTGGTTTAAGTCCGGTGGTGAGTTCCGGTTTAGAGTTGGGTCCGAGTCAACGTTTGGTTCGAGCCTAGGTCTGAGGCCAAGTTTGGTCTGCTTCGAATTTGGGATTGATTTGGGTTTGGGTCTTGGGGTTCAGGTTCAGTGATTGAGTTGGTCCAGGGCCTAGTCCCGATTTGAGATTCCGGGGTTGGGTCCAGAGCCTAATCACAGATCTAGTTCATAACGAAAAAAATATCTAAAAAAAACTCTAATGACAGAGAGATGTGACACAACAGATTATATCTTCCATGCAACCTGAAATCATACAATATTATGACATTAAAAAGGGTAATTTATAATTTATACCCTTAAAATATGTACATAATTTTTACGTGGTTCTTAAAATTTTAATTTAAACAATTATATTTTTGAAGTTTTAACTTATTTTGAATTCAGTCCTTCTATCGGAATCTATTAATTTGTTCCCACATAAAGACGTCACAAGACTTGGTCTATGGATATTTGTCAAGCAAAAAACATATTTCTCTATTTATTTCATAGCATTTCTCAAATTCTTACTCAGTGTCTTTTATTTTTTGGGTTTGTTATATTTTTTTTCTCCAAATCAGATAAAATAAAATGAGACTTTTCAGCCTATACGTAAAAGATCTTTCACTAGATAAATATACTCTTTTATTCAAGTCATGTGTTGGTCATAGAAGGCAATTCCGTCACAATAAATCGGTAAATTTTGATGTAAGAACTAAATTGAAACACAATTAAAACTCTAAGGATATGATTTTTAGAAGTAGAACTTCAAGTACCAAAAGAAACTAGGTGCACAATTTAAGGGCGTAAATTATAATTTACCCTACAACAAATTACTTGGTTTTGAAATTATTCAATAGGTGGATGACCACCCCCCCTGTAATGGCGGTGGACGACCACCCCAAATTGAATCCCTTGTCCCTAAATATTTGCCTATAAAAGGCTTGCAAAATGGAGAGAAGAAGAACACATTGTATACAGAAGCAAAAAGTTCACTCTTTTTTCAGTATTCTCTCTGTATTTTCTTTTCGAATTAGTTATTTACACCTAAATAATTTGTTAGTTTTATAGCACGTTATCAGCATGAAAAATAATCAAATGAGTCACAATCGAATAATATTCTATATCTAAAAGGTAAAATCATGTAATATGAGTGTATTAGTTTTATTAAACACAATATATGTTATGAGAGAACATGACGTGAGTGTTTATTATCGTTATATTTGAATTTGTGCCTGAAACACATAAATTGTGTACCCGAAGTGCATAAAAATTTAATATAAATTATATTCTTGAAAAACATTAAAAACAATCTAGTACATGAAGTACAAAGAATTTCATTGTGCTAGAATATGACACATAACTTACAGACTTGAAATTTGTAAATTATACATAAATTACAGACTTGAAGTTTATAAAATTATTTTGATATCAGAAGATCACAAATTAACTTGTAAAGTTAAAGCTCGTAAATTATTAAAT